AAATTCCCATCTAGGTAGTCCTGGCATGGGCATTGGTATTGGGTTTTTATTTGGCGAGATTAGATCCTATGGTTGAGAAGAAGTCGTTTATCTTGTTTTGCTGTCAGTGGGATGTAGTGGTGTTTCATTAGGTTTAGTTAGGACAATATTCTTGTTTTTTTTTCAGTTTGTGGGTCCCTAGAATCTGGAGAGTGTTTTGCAGGTCTTTTTTAATATCTCCTCTAGTGTCTGTGAATCTACTGGAGTAGTATAGTTGTTTGGCTTTCTTTATTTCTTTGGTGAGAACTGATGAATAGTGTTTAAGAATATCATTGTGTATTAAGCCTGTCATATTTGCTTTTCTATATTGGTTTTTCTTGTCAATGGATTTTCAGAATGGTGCTGGTTAGCCATGGGCAACCAAGCCGTTTTGTTGTTTGTGATCTGTTTCGTTTTTATAGGACAATGTTTGTTGTATATCCTAAGTTAATTTGTTAAGAAAAATGTCTGTCCCATCATCAATACCACTGGCCTTGGAGAATTCTGTAGGCCATCAACAGTCCCCCTAGTCAGGGTGTGAACTCCTTATTGAGGCCTCGTTCATGGAGTCTAAATGAACTGTTGTATTCAAGTGGTGGTTTACTAATGTTTGTCAGGAGGAAGGTAAGGTAGTGGTCTGTAGTGCTATCTGTGATTATCCCTGATTTAAGGGGGGCTAGTAATTGGGGCCAATGTGGTCTATTATGGTTGCACTTGTCTCAGTGAGCCTGGTTGGTTTAGTTATTTTGGTAAAGGGAAGTGTGTTGTTCATATTGTTGATGAAATCATTACAGGCTGATCAATCTAGTATGCCAAGGTTGATGTTGAAGTCTCCAGCTAAGAGAAGGTGGTGCTTTATTCATTTGTCCCGTTTGTTATTAGTGACTTTAATTTCTCGCTGAATTTTGGGGATGTTTGTGTGAGGTATCCGGGAAATGGCCACCGATTGTTATAGGTGTCTTAAGGTTTTTTACAGTAAAATTAGCAAAAATGTATTCCCCATATTCATCACTAAAGCAAGTGGTGCTAATACAAGATAATTGGTTAGAGTAATAGATTGCAAAAACCACCCCCAACTTGGTTTGGTCTGCAGTTGTGAATTGCTGTGTATCCTGGTAGAGGGTAGATATCTATTTTTGTCCTGCTTAAGCCAGGTCTCAGTAAGAATAATGCAGGAGAAGGGTGTCTTAGTGATTCAAGGGGTGCCAGGAGGTCATCATAGTGTTTGCTTAAGGACCTGATGTTGTAGTTAAGTACTGATAGACTTTTAGCATTGTTTAGGATAGTGCTGGCTTGTGATGTGTGTAATAAAGGCAGTTACTTTCCAATAGGTTTTGATTGGGTGTCAGATTATGGAGGTTTAGATCAGGGTCAACGTGATCAATCATCTTCTAAGTTTAAATTATGGTTATTTATATCCTGAGTTGTGTGTTGAGTTCTAGTACTGATATCTGTAGTGGTGGGAAGTTTGGACAAGTATATAGCTAGAGTATTTTGGTCATATAGAGTATAGTCACTACTACACATAATGAAGTTGATGTTGTCTATGTGTTGTGCTGGAATGAACTAAAGTACAACTAGGTATAAACTAGTAATATAAAAATACAAATTAAAAATAAGACTCTCACTTGTAATTGCACTAAGGTCTAATATAATGACTTTTGTGGAGTCTATGTTTTGAGCTAGAATGAGCTACAGTTAAGTAACCCTTCTAGTTATGGCAGACTGATACTGGCCAGTTATGTATGTTGCAATTGGATAGGTTGGGGGTGATCCAGCTACATCAAGTGACCACCAGAGAATATCTGGTAAGTGGTGGTATTATATACAAGTGTTTTTTCCTTGATGGATATATACAGGTGTAACCTTCCCCCCCCCCTTCATTCAGTTAAACTAATATAATCTATACAGTCCACAATTATTTAGTAGTGCCGTACTCTGTGGGTACCATCCAATTTATACTGGTCTCGGATAGATATGGATAAGATTGTGAGGTCGAAGGGACCACCTGCAGGGACCAGGGGTGGATAAGTTTTCTCACATGTCTACACGGGGTGACTACGGTAAACAATATGGCTGTTGTCTTCCAATGAGATTACTTGTATGCATATAATGTTGAGGTACATACAGGTAACCCCCTATAAATTTTTCCATAATACCTCTAATGTTGAAGTATAGTACCTGGACCCATTATATACCTCTGTAATGTTGAGGTACAGTACCTGAACCCATTATATACCTCTGTTATGTTGAAGTACAGTACCTGGACCCATTATGAGTTAGTTTAATATGTTTATTATGCACCCCATACCCATCCTGTGGGCGGTAGTCAAAAGATTACAGAGGTACATAATTGGTCCAGGGACTGGACTCCAAAGTTTTGATAGCTGAGCAAGTTACAGAGGTAATGAACTCACAATTTACAAATGTAATGAACTCACAATTTACAAAGGTAATGAACTCACAATTTACAAAGGTAATGAACTCCAGGTAAGTCTGGTCACAATCATGACAAGTTACAAAGGTATTTACAGATTACAGAGGTACGTAATGGGTCCAGGGACTGGGCCCCCAAAGTTTTGATAGCTGAACTAGGTACAAAGGTAATGAGCTCACAAGTTACAAAGGTAATGAATTCTGTAGAATGGTTACTTACGTTTATACTTTGGCTACAATCATGAACAAATTATAGAGTAATGAGCAATTCACACTTCCACACCCGGTCACAACTGTAATGAGTTATTGGTGCAAATATTGATTGTTGAGTCACACACCACCACACACACACACACACACACACACACACACACACACACACACACACACACACACACAACACACACACACACACACACACACACACACACACACACACTTTAGTTTAATATCTTTATGCACCCCATACCCATCCTGTGGGCGGTAGTCAAAAGATTACAAAGGTACATAATGGGTCCAGTGACTGGACCCCAAAGTTATGATAGCTGAACTAGTTACAAAGGTAATGAACTCCAGGTAGATCTGGTCACTAATCATGGCAAGTTACAGAGGTAATGAATCAGCTTCACTCCTATACATGGTTACAGTCATGAACAAATTACAAAGTAATGAACCACTGATACGTCCACACCTGGTCACAATTGTAATGAGTTATAAATACAAATATTAAGTGGATCATACACCCACACTAGCGCGCGCGCGCACATACACACACGAGGGCGCACGCACGGACATGTGCACACGAGCGTACAAATATATGCATACACACAAGGACGCACACCCACACACACACACCAACACCCACACACACCAACACCCACACACACACACCCTCACACACACCCACACACACACCCTCACACACACCCACACACACACCCACACACACACACACACACCCACTTATGAGCCTTTGTAATGTTGAAGTACAGCACCTGGACCGATTATATACCTCTGTAATGTTGAGATACAGTACCAAGACCCATTATGAGCCTCTGTAATGTTGAAGTACAGTACCTTGACCAATTATATACCTCTGTAATGTTGGAGTACAGTACTTGGACCCATTATATGCCCCTGCAATGTTGAAGTTTAGTACCCGGACCCATTATATACCCCTGCAATGTTGAAGTACAGCACCTGGACCCATTATATGCCCCTGCAATGTTGAAGTTTAGTACCCGGACCCATTATATACCCCTGCAATGTTGAAGTACAGCACCTGGACCCATTATATGCCCCTGCAATGTTGAAGTTTAGTACCCGGACCCATTATATACCCCTGCAATGTTGAAGTACAGCACCTGGACCCATTATATACCTCTGTAATGTTGAAGTACAGCACCTGGACCCATTATATACCCCTGCAATGTTGAAGTACAGCACCTGGACCCATTATATACCCCTGCAATGTTGAAGTATAGCACCTGGACTCATTATATACCCCTGCAATGTTGAAGTACAGTACCTGGGCCCATTATGAGCCTCTGCAATGTTGAAGTTTAGTACCTGGACCCATTATATACCCCTGCAATGTTGAAGTACAGCACCTGGACCCATTATATACCTCTGTAATGTTGAAGTACAGCACCTGGACCCATTATATACCCCTACAATGTTGAAGTACAGTACCTGGACCCATTATGAGCCTCTGCAATGTTGAAGTTTAGTACCTGGGCCTATTATGAGCCTGTGTAATGAATTAACTACTGTTCATACCATAACTATGGGTTGCATAATAAAGATATTAAACTAGCTAGTTGTTTAGTCTTGGAAATAATAATTAGCTTTAGTGAACCAGCACAAACATTTAGTTTTTCTCCTAAAATTTAAATTTAAATGTTTTACGCAAGTGAGCCTAAAGTCTGTAGGGATTATATATATAAACAGTATTGTGTTTACAATATATATATAATATTTCTTATTCACGAAGGAATAATAATGATGAGAAACATACATGTGCAAACGAATAATAATGGTAATATAACGAGAGTGATGTAAATAATGTGTAGTATGAGGTTAAGTTTATTTAGGTACAAGTACACATAAATACAGTTACATAAATTATCATACATAGCAGCATATGTGTAGATTACTTAGTCCAGCCCAAAAAAGGCAGACAAAGTGATTTACTTCCACTTAGGTAGTTGTGGGTTAGTAAGGTTTATCCTAGGTTAGATGTATATAATATCTGTATGTGTCCATAATATCTGTGAACCATCGTGAGGAGTGCTTTATATATATATATATATATATATATTATGTGGGTAGTTAGCTTAATATTATGCACCACATACCCATCCTGTGGGCGTGGGTAGTATTATAATCTAGAGTGACTTACTAGTAGTAGTGGTGGAAATAAGTCACTTTATCTGACGTTTTTGGGTTATTCTAGGTAATATACTGCTATATATGATAACTTATGTAAGTATATTTATGTATATTTATACATAGGTGAAGTTAGTTAGTATGTTGTTAGGTTAGTAGTGCAGGTGATGGCCGCAGCGTGCTGGTGGCGCTGTCTACACATCGATTGTTTACCTCTGTTACCTCAGCCTCTCACTGCCTCACTATAACACTCTACAATATTATTACTGTGAGTACTGTGGTGGTGGTGTAGCCTCGAGGGTGTGCTGGAGACTGTATCCTGACAAGTACACTCATCATCATCCTTGTTATTACTTTGTTATTACTACACTTTCATTCTTCTCTCGTAGGTTTATTTAGGTACATTTAAATGTTATGTAAATTATCGTGTATAACAGTGTATGTGTAATTACTCAGGATAATGTAAAAAAAAAGTTAGTGACTATATTTCCATTGTGGTTCTTCATGTACCACCATTCTTGTTCTTATATACCACCATTCTTGTTCTTATATACCATCATTCTTGTTCTTATATACCATCATTCTTTTTCTTATATACCATCATTCTTGTTCTTATATACCACCATTCTTGTTCTTATATACCACCATTCTTGTTCTTATATACCATCATTCTTGTTCTTATATACCATCATTCTTGTTCTTTATACCACCATTCTTGTTCTTATATACCACCATTCTTGTTCTTATATACCATCATTCTTGTTCTTATATACCATCATTCTTGTTCTTATATACCACCATTCTTGTTCTTATATACCACCATTCTTGTTCTTATATACCACCATTCTTGTTCTTATATACCATCATTCTTGTTCTTATATACCACCATTCTTGTTCTTATATACCACCATTCTTGTTCTTATATACCATCATTCTTGTTCTTATATACCACCATTCTTGTTCTTATATACCACCATTCTTGTTCTTATATACCATCATTCTTGTTCTTATATACCACCACTCTTGCTCTCGTACACCGCCACTCTTGCTCTCGTACACCGCCACTCTTGCTCTCGTACACCGCCACTCTTGCTCTCGTACACCGCCACTCTTGCTCTCGTACACCGCCACTCTTGCTCTCGTACACCGCCACTCTTGCTATCGTACACCGCCACTCTACCCAGACCTGTCAGTCGGCCAGGGAGGGAGACAACAGCAGCATAAAACAGTGACTCTCGACAGTCTCGTACTGTTACTTACTCAGACTTTTGGAAGTAATATCAAGGACCCTAGTGGAAGTAAGATGAGATTTTATTTGGATTTTTAACTCCAGAGGGTTAGGCCACCCAGGATAACTCAGGAAAGTCTGTGCATCATCAAGGACTGTCTTATTTCCATTGGGGTCTTTAAATATTGTCCTCCAGGATGCCACCCACACCAGTTGATTAACATTTGGGTACTTGCTTGCTAGGTGAACGGGACAACATGTGTAAGGAAACACGACCTGTGTTTCCACCCTTGCCGGGATCGAACTACTGATACAGTGTGAAGTAAGAGTGGTGCCTACCTGGCCACATAAACTTTATTCAAAATGTCTATTTTGGAAGCATATTTGTGTTCTTTCATGTGCAATGACAAGTTTTCTGGCAGTTTCTCTAATATGTTCAGCAATATTTACAATGAATTTCATATATCCTAGCATGTCTGATATTGTGTGGTGGTTTTTATTCCTTGTTAGTTTCTGTATGGTGGCCAAAGTGATGACTGATATTTTCTTGTTGGTTTAGTAACTTTGTAAGAAGATTGCTGAAGGAAGTCACGAAGGTACTCGGTACACTCGGTAATAAAACAACACAGGTATTTAATCTCTTTCACAGGTAACATACCTCAGTATCAGTTATTAAACCATGTTTCAGGTAACTTGCTCAGTATCACAGTTATTAAATCATGTCAACAACAAAGTATCAGTCATCACTTTGTTCACTATATAGGAACTCGCAAGGAACAAAAACAATGCACAGCGTCAAGAAGAACGTGCCAGGATATGTGAACCTCCTTGTGGAGGTTGTGATCAAATACCCATGTCAAAGAAATCAATTTCATTTGTGTTCATTAATATGTACTGACTGTCACTGCATATAAATGAACACAAATGAGCTTCCAGAAGAAATGCACGGAGATCAAACTAATTAAAGAGGATGACAAATTCAAGAGTGTCCTCAACACAACTTTCAACACTAGTGTTCAAAACAAAGTAAGTTCACATTTAGACTAGTCTCTAGCCATACAGCTGTTTTATATTTTATTTATTAACACATCAGACATTCCCACCAAGACAGGGTGGCCTGAAAAAGAAAAACTTTCATCATCATTCACTCCATCCATACAACTGTTTATCAAAGCATATTGTCATGGCCAACTATGACCTCGTCTCCACATCTGACTTCCTTTTCCTACCTGCATACAGTGCAGTATTAGGCTTCCCAGTCAACACCACTAATTTAAAAAATAGCCTTTTATACAGGTGAAATGTCTTTAATTTTGCTAAAACTGCACTTTGTGCCATTTTTACACAGTCTATTGGTATTCGTATAACATTAATAGTTTTACTATGTCCTCAATAGATTGATTCCAATATAACATCAGCTCTTTTGAAGACTGGATGTTTATTTTTTGCATAATAAAATATTAGGTTTGGAGACTGCCTTTTTCTTTATACGTACATAGAGCAACATGAAGCCAGTAACCAGTGCAGTATAAGTATTTTAATTCTTAAATTTCCACTGGACACAAAAGTCTGCAACCTGATGGAGGTTCCTTGAAGCAACTTTTGACCCTTTAATGAAAATAGGATTATCAAATCTTCCCATACTGACAGTTGTCTATTCAGAAAATAAGCAAGTGTTCTCAGTGCTTCTCTCGCCTATCTGTTTATGCCATCCATTTCTCGTCTTGTGGTTAATGATCATCTTACATTCTCTACTCCTCTTTGCAGTTCACCACCACTCTTACTTCAAGCTGGAACACTATTACTTGTGCCTTGTGCCTTGATTGGGAAATTGTCATGTGTGTACAGTACAACAAAATCTTGATTTAGTGGAGTAATGGTGGGAAGGTGTCCGGCAGTGCTGATTTTGCACTAAATTTAAATAATGAATTTTTTTTTCCTTGATTGTAACAGTGAATACTTATGGAAACAAACTTTGTCCATTTCTTTTGAAATCGACTCGCCCAGCAAATTATAACAGTAATGGACAGTTTTGGAAAACAATGCACATGAAGACTTTTTCCATATATATCAACCCTTTAAACTTGGGGCATCATGGTGGCTTATGCTCCCTTCATGAAGTAAAATATTCTGCTCTGTTCCATCCCTAAGAAGGTATTGTTTTCTTGACAACTTCACTCCATTATTAGGTCATGCCAAAGGTAAATATGCTTTATTTTTCCTGTCTTCTCTATTATTGGCCTAACAAGTCATGCTTAATCTCCTGGGGTGGCCATAGCTTTTGTTAATCAGTTTTTTTTTTTTAATGCACTTGCCATCTAACAATAAGGTAGGGAGACCCCCAAAAAAAGCAAACGTTTCCACCATCATTCATTCAGCATTGTCTTGTCAGAAGTGTTGACATCATAATTAAGATCACCCTTACGTTGCAACATCCTCATTTATACATTAGAGTTCAAGCATTGTAGTTCCTTCCTGCAGGACATAAGTGGTTAACTGTTTGTCCTGAATTCCTTTGTAAATATTATCTTGTTTTCACTCCAACAACATGTTGAACCTATTTTCCACTCATTATCTAGAATGCTCACACAAGCCTGGTAGATGTTCCAGCCCCTAGAACTTTATATCTCTTTGTCCCTTCTCACTTCAACCCTTCCTGAGATGACTCAAATTCTTTGTTCCACTCCAAATTTATATACAAACCATCTCAGCAGCCTGTTTGTAGCCCTCCAGAATTATACTTTTGGTAACTCCACACCATCTTCTAATCTTGTGTTCCAGATTCTCTGCAATTTATTCACATCACACATTGCTCTCAAACATTACCTCTCCACTGCCTCTAGCCTCCTTGCTGCAGTGTGCAAAGCCCATGCTTTGCACTTGTATATAAGTCTTGGTACCATTATTCTTTGGCATGTTAACTTTTTTTTTTTTTTCCTTCATAGACGAGTATCTTCCCATCTGGAGGCAGGAAACACAATGCCTGTACCCTGAAGGAGGGGTGGGGATATTTCAGTTTTGAGGGGCATTGGAGCTGTAGTGTCGGCATGCTTCCAGTAATACGGTGATAGAATGAGATGATGGTGAAAGTGTTTCTTCTTTTTCTGATCACCCTACCTTGATTTTATGGTTCACCCTCCTACTGACATGTCTTCTCCCAAATATATGAAAATGTTCACTTCTTCCATACTCCCTCTCTCTCCTGTCTGATATCCAATCTTTCATTGCTTAGCATGGCTTACGGAGGAAGAATTCTGTTCCACTTCCCCATGGAGGTAAGAGGAAATAAACAAGAACAAGAACTAGTAAGAAAATAGAAGAAAACCCAGAGGGGTGTGTACATATTTAGTATATGCTTGTACATGTATGTGTAGTGTGACCTAAGTGTAAGAAGAAGTAGCAAGACGTACCTGAAATCTTGCATGTGTACGAGACAGAAAAATGGACACAGCAATCCTACCATCATGTAAAACAATTACAGGCTTTCGTTTTACACTCACTTTACATATACAGTAGACCCCGGTTAACGATATTTTTTCATTCCAGAAGTATGTTCAGGTGCCAGTACTGACCGAATTTGTTCCCATAAGGAATATTGTGAAGTAGATTAGTCCATTTCAGACCCCCAAACATACACGTACAAACGCACTTACATAAATACACTTACATAATTGGTCGCATTGGGAGGTGATCGTTAAGCGGGGGTCCACTGTGTGTGTGTGTGTGTGTGTGTGTGTGTGTGTGTGTGTGTGTATACAGTGGACCCCCACATACCGTTGGCCTTACATAACGTTAAATCCGCATACCGATACGTTTTATCGCTAAGATTTTGCCTCGCATGCCGCTAAAAAACCCGCTCAACGCTGTTCGTCCGAGACGCGTCTAATGTGCGGCCTTAGCCAGCCTCACGTGTTCCGCCGGTGGCATTGTTTACCAGCCAGCCTCCGCGGTAACATCCAAGCATACAATCGGAATATTTTGTATTATTACAGTGTTTTTGGTGATTTTATCTGCAAAATAAGTGACCATGGGCCCCAAGAAAGCTTCTAGTGCCAACCCTACAGGAATAAGGGTGAGAATTACTATAGGGATGAAGAAAGAGATCATTGATAAGTATGAAAGTGGAGTACGTGTCTCCGAGCTGGCCAGGTTGTATAATAAACCCCAGTCAACCATCGCTACTATTGTGGGCAACAAAAAGGCAATCAAGGAAGCTGTTCTTGCCAAAGGTTCAACTGTGTTTTCGAAACAGAGATCGCAAGTGATGGAAGATGTTGAGAGACTCTTATTGGTGTGGATAAATAAAAAACAGATAGCAGGAGATAGCATCTCTCAAGTGATCAGGATTTAATTAAAAAAATGCCTGCAACTAGTGATGATGTGAGTGAATTTAAGGCCAGCAAAGGTTGGTTTGAGAGATTTAAGAAGCGTAGTGGCATACATAGTGTGATAAGGCATGGTGAGGCTGCCAGTTTGGACCAAAAAGCAGCTGAAAAATATGTGCAGGAATTCAAGGAGTAAATAGGCAGTGAAGAATTGAAACCTGAACAAGTGTTTAATTGTGACACTGACAATGTTGTGAAACACTAGGAATGTCATAAAGGAACGGGAGGTACACGCCTCTATGGACAGGTATGTTGTGCGACAGAGGTCCAGTGACTGCAAGCTGGTCCTAGTGGCATTAAAAGAAGGGAAGTAACCCCGGAAAAGGACTTGACACCTCAAGTCCTAATGGAAGGGGATTCCCCTTCTAAACACTAACACCATCCACACTCTCCCCTCCTCCCATCCCATCAATCATCACCAGATCTTCAATGAAGGTAAGTGTCATGTAATTGTACATGTCTTCTTCAGTTTGTGTGTATTAAAATTAGTATTTCATCTGGTAAAAATTATTTTTTTCAATACTTTTGGGTGTCTTGCACGGATTAATTTGATTTCCATTATTTTTTGTGGGAAAAATTAACTAGACTAACGATAATTTTGATTAACGATTAGCTCTCAGGAACGGATTAATATCGTTGGTCGAGGGTCCACTGTACTCCAAAATTCTAGCAGCTTCAAATCAAGCAGGAGAAAGCTGGTAGGCCCACATGTGAGAGAATGGGTCTTTGTTGTCAGTGTGCACAGTATAAAAAAAAAAATCCTGCAGCACGCAGTGCATAATGAGAAAAAACACTCCGACCTTGTTTTTGGACTAAAATGCCGACTTTGAGGTGTATTTTTGTATAGTATTTATGGTTGTATTCTAGTTTTCTTGGTCTCATTTGATAGAATGGAATACATATTACAGAAATAGAGATGATTTTGATTGGTTTCACAATGAAAAGGACCTTGAAATTGAACTCAAAGTAACAGAAATGTTTGATTATTTGGCATTGTTCAAAAGTAAACAAATGACATCATTGTCCATTAAGTGTCCAACTAGCCATTCTAATACACAGTCATGAATGGGTTGACATTATTTATACAATTATTACTATAATGCAGTAGTCTGAATAACAGTAAATCTTATCTTTATTATGTGAATAAAAATTCAAAATAGAAAGCAAAAGTAATGTAAGAGGGGTCTGGAGATGTGACTGATGGACAAAGAAAATGTTGTTTTAGTGCCAGGAATGTCTGCATTGTTCATTCTGGACCCTATTTTGAAATTGGCATCTATTTTAATTTACATGAAATTGGCCAAATTACCAAATTCTGACCACTTTATTTAGTAGTTGAAATCGGTAAATAGGCGGTTTCTTGTACTCAGTTGATGGAACAAATGAAGTTCTAAAGAAATATCTGCGAATTTGGTCGACTGGAGCAATGGAATTGGCTGAAAATAGGGCTCAAAATGGGCGAAATCGCCGATGCATAAATATCGCTGAGATAGCTAACTTCGCGAGAGCATAATTCCACAAGTTTTCAATTAAATTTTGTACTTTTGGTGTCATTACCATTAGGAAAAGATTCTCTATCATTTCATAAGAAAAAATATTTTTTTTTATAATTCTTTGACATTGTGAGCAGGGCTTGACAGTCAAAGGGTTAAGCATCCTAATTTTGAAGTAATGAGTATGTATATGGTTGAGCAATCCTTAGCATAATGTACAGTAATGAAGTTGAATTAAGTTTAGTTTTTTTTTTTTTTTTTGTATAGCTTTTGAGTAACTGGTAGGTATTGAGTATGGTTTGTCTGGTTAATTTTGGGTGATGAGATGATTTCTAAGTAGGGCCTTAAATTGATTTGCAGGCAGGGGTCCTTTAGTGTGTTCTGGCAATGAATTCCAGATCTTAGGGCCCTTTACGTACATAGCATTTTTGCATAGGGAGAGATGGACACTAGGGACATGGTTTAAATAAAAATAAACATTTCTATTTTCATCCTTTCCTCTTGTGTTTGCACACTCTTGTCACTCATTTATTTAGTGCAGTGATAAAGAAAAAGGAGGTAGCCAACAAGATTTTTCATTAATCTTAAGTTTTTATAATCACATTTATAAAAATTTATTGAGTATAATCATTATTTTACTTTGTTTAATGCAGATACAATCACTATGGAGGAAGGTATTCTTTCACTGCGATGGAATAATCATCGTTCGACTTTTTTCCACGTTTTATCAACACTTCATCGTAAGGTAAGGCTTTCTATTTCTTATCAACATCTTGCAAAATAAGTATGAAAGTCACCTCAGTAAGACAGACAAAATTAATAAGGAATATCAACAAGGCCTTCCAATGAGCAAAGGAAAAAGTGATAAACCATGGAATAGGTGGGGTTTGAACCCATGGCAAGTGAGTTGTAAAACTCTTGGCCAGTGCATAAGCCACTGGACCAGCTGGCTGCAATAAAAGTCATCCCCTCACTCACCATTAATTCAAACCCCACCCATTTTTTTTTAATCATGTTATTACAATTTCATGAATCAAAACATCATGATCATTGGTGGCCAGTTTTTAACTAATTAGGTATAGGAGGAAGACCTCAAAATGGGCTCAATGTAAACACTGCAGACCATATCATAGAACATAAACAGGTGAAAGACTTGGGAATAAGTTTGTCAGAGGATTCGTCATTTAGAAGATACAATAAGGAAAAAGCAGCAGGGGTCAAGAAACTGACTGGGTGGATTATGACGACTTTCAGAGCAGGATTTATTCCATTGGTGGCTCTTTTCAGATAACTTGTGCTCTCACTCTCCTTGAATATTGTTTTGTGCTGACAGTGTCTTTCAAGGCAGGAGAAGCAGAGTTGGAAAATGTCTAGATTGTATACTGTCCAAATAGTAAATAAAACATGTTAACTATTAGGAATACCTCAGAGCACTACGAATGGGAGGGAAAAGAGCAAGGTATTGTCCCTGATGATATATAAATGGAAAGTACATGTGGGACTGATCTCTAAATTGTACATTGCTATAACAACTTATTAGAGTGAAAGATATGGAAAAAAGTGTGAAGTAAACCTAGTGAAGAGCAGGGAGGCCATAGGTATAGTTAAAATTAAGATTTTTATTTTGACAAATTACATGGTTGTACAGAGGAATATAATACATACAATGGACCCTCGATTTTCGTGTGCAAGCTGTTCCAGAGCCATCAGCCACAACCGAAACCATTTTTCCCTATAAATAATGTAAATGGAATTAATCTGTTCCAGACACCCAGGAGTATCAACAAAAAATTTTTTTTTTACGTTAGATTAACATACACAAAAGAATGAACATTCAACATGACACTTACCTTTAATGAAGGCTGTTGTTGATGAATGGAAGACAGGGAGGAGGGGAGAGGTAAGAGAGGTTATTGTTTGGAAGGGGAATCCCCCACCATAAGGACTCTAGGTACCAAGTCATTATCAGGGGTCACTTCCCTAGCTTAAATATAGATTTACATGCAGAAAAGAATGACAAATATAAGGCACTAATAAAATGTATAAATGAACATTTAACATCACACTTGCCTTTATTGAAAAGACTTGGTGTATGGCAGACTGGGTGGAGGTGGAGAGGGAGGAGAGTTTATTGTTGGAGAATATGACACTAATATCAACTCTACAGCTTATTTATCTATCACAATTCAACTTATATGACATAATAAACAATATTAATAACATATAAACATGACATATACTCTAGAATGAATAAAGTAAGGCATTATGTGTGTAACGACAGGTGTTCTGTTGTTGTTGTTGTTGTTAGGTGTATAAGGGCCACTGTGAGCATAAGCCGTACATAATGTTGGTGATGGCTGCAGCTCAGCAGTGTTTTCTGTAGCCCTATATAACTCCAGCAACATTGGAAGAGTTAGTAGAATTGCTGAATCACTGAAGAAGGCACCCTCTACCACCATCACAACCACTACCACCCTCTACCACCATCACTTTCATATTTTTCTACAAACTTTTTCTTGAATTATATCGTGTTTCTCACATTCTTTACCAAAGGGCTGGGACTAGAAGTTTTCTTTGGGCCCATGGTGGCTTATTTAGCAGTCACACACAAACAAGTGGCGAAAGCGATGGATTATTACGAAGTGTTTCGTATGACCTGGCAGGATATGTTCACTCGCTGAGAAACAAAGCTACACTGGCTGAGAAAGGTGTGGGAGGCAGCTTTGTCTGTGTGCTGGGCACTAGACAGGTTCCATACAGTCGACGAAAACAGAGCCAAAAAAATCGATGGAAAAGTTGGCCAAAACCGATATCAGCGATAACGGAGATCAACGAAAACAGAGGGTCCACTGTAGTTAGTTGTACATGCCAAAAGCCCCTTTGTATTTATTTATTTATTTATTTAGTTTGTCTTTGCAAACAGTACAATGAGATTTTGTATCTACAATAGTGGGTTGCAATGCAAAGAGAGCCTCTATTATGCCTAGGCATTATGGGTCAACTTAACATTATTGGCTTACAGACTACTTAACACTAAGGATTATATCATAGTTGTACAGTAGGATAGTAACTATTTCATAGTTGTACAGTAGATTATTAATTATAAATGAATCAAAATTTGTATAAGACAAGAGATATATTCATATATTCGAAAATGCTTTTTGTGAAAACAATGAATCGGGCAATGATTTCGGACAAACTTAAAGATTAACTTAAGAATAGTAAGGCAATATACTACATAGTTCATATGGTCATTAGATGAGTTACAGTGAGTACAGGAGAATTGAATAATATATCAGGTGATGCTGAGTGGTTTTGATAAGTCTAGTAAAGACTTATTACACTGTTGAGTTAGTTAATAAAGATTACAGTACAGGTCCTCCATCACAAATCCGGCATCATTGGGACCTGTAGTTTGCCGGATTACAGAGTGGTTAGGTTAGAATACACTTAATAAAATTAACCAACTTGACTTACACAAAGTTCATTGAACATCTGCAAAAATCGAACATTTCTGCTACTTTGAGCTCAATTTCAAGGTACTTTTCGTCATGAAAGCAATCAAAATTATGTCTATTTCTGTAATATATCTTCCATTCTATCAAATGAGTCCACAAAAATGAGAATACAGTGGACCCTCGCCTAACGATATTAATCCATTCCTGAGAGCTTAACGTTAGGCGAAATTATCGTTAGCCAAATTAATTTTCCCCATAAGAAATAATGGAAATCAAATTAATCCGTTCGTGACACCCCAAAGTATGAAAAAAAGCAAATTTTACCACATGAAATATTAATTTTAATACAAACTGAAGAAGACATGCACAGTTACATGACACTTACCTTTATTGAAGATCTGGTGGTGATTGATGGCATGGGAGGAGGGGAGTGTGTGAATGGTGTTAATGTTTAGAAGGGGAATCCCCTTCCATTAGGATTTGACGTGGCAAGTCCTTTTCCGGGGTTACTTCCCTTCTTCTTTTAATGCCACTAGGACCAGCTTGAGTCACTGGACCTCTGTCGCACAACATATCTGTCCATAGAGGCCTGTACCTCCTGTTCCTTTATGACATTCTTAGTGTTTCACAACATTGTCAGTGTAATAGTCACCAGCACGGCTTGCAATAGCTGTGTGAGGGTGATTTTTTATCAAAAAAGGTTTGCACTTTAAGCCACATTGCACACATTTCCTTAATCTTTGAAGTAGGCAACTTTCTCAATTTCTCTATCCCCTCCTCCGAACCAGTTTCCTCAGGTCTGGCCTCTTGCTGTTGAAGTTGATCTAGCAGCTCATCAGTGGTTAGTTCGTCATTGTCCTCCTCCACCAACTCTTCCACATCCTCCCCACTGATCTGCAACCCCAAGGACTTCCCCAATGCCACAATAGATTCCTCAACTGGCATAGGATTCCCAGGGTTAGCCTCAAACCCTTCAAAATCCCTTTTGTCTACACATTCTGGCCACAGTTGCTTCCAAGCAGAGTTCAAGGTCCTCTTAGTCACTTCCTCCCAAGCCTTACCTATAATGTTTACACAATTGAGGATGCTAAAGTGATCTCTCCAAACTCTCGTAGAGTCAATTGAGTTTCTGAGGTCACTACAAAGCACCTTTGAAACATAGCTTTTGTGTAGAGTTTTTTGAAGTTTGCAATGACCTGCTGGTCCATGGGCTGCAGGAGAGGAGTGGTATTAGGATGCAAAAACTTGACCTTAATGAAGCTCATTTCCACAGAAAGTCGCTCTGACAAGTTTGAAGGATGACCAGGAGCATTGTCTAATACCAGGAGGCACTTAAGGTCCAATTTATTTTCCAGGAGGTAATTTTTCACAGTGGGGGCAAATGCATGGCATAACCAATCATAGAAAAGGTCCCTAGTGACCCATGCCTTACTGTTTGCCCTCCACAGCACACACAAATTAGCCTTGAGGACATTGTTTTTCCTGAACACTCTGGGAGTTTCAGAGTGATACACCAATAAAGGCTTCACTTTGCAATCACCACTAGCATTAGCACACATCAACAGAGTAAGCCTGTCTTTCATAGGCTTATGTCCTGGGAGTGCCTTTTCCTCCTGAGTAATGTAGGTCCTGTTTGGCATTTTCTTTCAAAACAGGCCTGTTTCGTCACAATTAAACACTTGTTCAGGTTTCAGTCCTTCACTGTCTATGTACTCCTTGAATTCCTGCACATATTTTTCAGCCACTTTGTGGTCCGAACTGGCAGCCTCACCATGCCGTATCACACTATGTATGCCACTATGATTCTTAAATCTCTCAAACCAACCTTTGCTGGCCTTAAATTCACTCACATCACCACTAGTTGCAGGCATTTTTCTAATTAAATCGTCATGCAACTTCCTAGCCTTTTCACATATGATCGCATGAGAGATGCTGTCTCCTGCTACCTGTTTTTTGTTTATCCACACCAATAACAATCTCTCAACATCATCTATCACTTGCGATCTCTGTTTCAAAAACAAAGTTGCACCTTTGACAAGAACAGCTTCCTTGTTTGCCATTTTCTTGGCCACAATAGTAGCGATGGTTGATTGGGGTTTTGTGTACAACCTGGCCAGCTCGAAGACACGCACTCCACTTTCATACTTAGCAATGATCTCTTTCTTCATATCCATAGTAATTCTCACCCTTTTTGCTGTAGGGTTGGCACTAGAAACTTTCTTGGGGCCCATGGTGACTTATTTTGCAGGTGCAATCACTAAAAAGGCTGTGATAATATGAAATGTTC